TAACTCAAAGGCTGGGCAGGTAGGTGGTGATGTGAGGATCACATGATAGACAGGAGGCGGAGTGATGTGAGGATCCCTAACTCAAAGGCTGGGCTGGCAGGACTCCAGCCTGTAAAAGTGGCAGAAAGGAGATTTGTGAGATGTTTGTTGATTTGAAGTAGAAAGGGGGCAGGGGAATGCATCTAGAGTCCAGTTCACACCACTAAAGGAAGCAGATGTGGATAAGTACTAAGTGCATGTTAAGATTCAACTAGTTGTTTTTCAGTCAATAAAAAATGACAAAATCTTACACTATACACAAACATTAAGTAGATGGTATGAGCACCACTTTTTTTTTTTTTTTGTCCGATTTCCATAGGAACAATGGGAAATTGAGCTAATATATTGTTCCTGGGAGTGTTTACAGGTGTATACCTGTAGTAGCACCCACAGGGATGTGGTATTTCTGTTGACTTTTTTGGTGGCCTGATCATAACCTAACATATGACACTTGAGAGTTTCTCATAGGAAGCACATGTCGAGGGTGATGCAAGGCCAGTTGCTTATTTGAATCCTAGGGTAATATCCCATGGCTGTGATAGCTTGCTTTGATTTTGCAGGAGGGCTACTCACAGGTCAACAGGAAGATCTTCGTAGGGCGCTGCTCGGAGGACATGACAGCAGACGAGCTGCGGAACTACTTTGCGAAGTTTGGTGAGGTGATTGACGTCTTCATCCCCAAACCTTTCCGAGCGTTTGCGTTTGTGACATTTGCTGATGCAGACGTGGCACAGAGTTTGTGCGGAGAGGACCACATCATAAAGGGAGCGAGCGTGCACGTCAGTAACGCCGCGCCCAAGTCCCAAGATAAAAGCGGCATGGGGCAGAAGAATCCAATGGGGATGGGGGGTGGAAACCAAGGGTACGGACAACAAGGAGGGTGGGGCAACCAAAACTCCCGGGGGAGTAGCCAGCAAGGTGGGTTTGGCTCCAGCGGGAGTAACAGCATGGGGGGAAACAACATGGGCAACAACCCACTTGGGATGGGGTTCAATTTGGGCGCCCTGGGCCTCAACCCGGCAGCCATGATGGCTGCTGCTCAGGCTGCCTTGGCTGGTCAAGCGGCCGGCTGGACGAACCTTCTGGGTATGAATCAAGGGGGGCAGGGCAGCCAGGGGACGGGAGATGCCACCATGAGCAGTCAGAGCCAGGTGGGGTATGGCATGGGGACGGGGAGCAGCATGGGGAGCACTGCGGCTGCGACCAGTAATCAAGGTTTTGGGAATATGGGCTGGGGAGGGACAGGGGCCACAGAGGGGGCAGGGGATGGGAGTTCTGGATGGGGGCAATCTAAGGCTACAGGGGGGTGGAATTAGGAGAGGGGGATGGCCACCACAGGTATATATCATCCATGTAAATAAGTCTTATAAACCACTCATGGGGGGAGGGAGAAATCTTTGGATTCTAGGCAATATTTTTTACAAATTTACCAGACTGAGTGTGGAATTGGGGTTGAAGAAGAGTTTGGAAGCGTGTTTGGGGGAGGGTGATATGGACTTGCCCATGCTGATCTGTTTTAATTTGCAACAACATCTGGATAAAGACAGTTTTAATTGGTGTGAACTTTGCAGTGTATGCGAGTATTAAAACTGTGAGCAGATTCCATGTGAAAAATTGGTGTGAACAGTGTTACAAACTCAGGTGTGAATAGTGACACAAATCAGACTAGTGTGAACAGTGCTTCAAACCGGGTGTGAACAGTGTTACAAACTCGGTGTGAATAGTGACACAAGTCAGACTAGTGTGAACAGTTGCTTCAAACCAAGTGTGAACAGTGGCAGATCTCTAGTGTGAACAGTGACACAAATAAGAATAGTGTGAATAATGACTCAAACCGGGTGTGAACAGTGACCCAATCCAGTGGTGTGTACAGTGATGGGATTTGAAAGTGTGAACAAGGCACGAAGAATCTGAACTGTTGCTGACTGAGGATGGTGGTGATGGTGGAGTCGAGATCGTACACGTGATCTGAAACTGAAAAATGCAAACTGGGCATTGGGTGTTCACTATGTGGAAGCTAGTTTCATTCATGGATGTAGTTGATGCTTATTATTATTTTCAACCCAGCCTATAAGACCTGTTGAATGAGGAAAAATGTGATTGAGGAAATTCAGATTCAAGTGACATGTTTGTTAAAACGTGTTTGGTAAAATGTATAATTATTGTTGTGTGAACAATAGATTGTATATCCGAAGTTTTATGACAGTATTTGGTTGTAAGTTATGAGTATTCTGATTGTTTATTTTATGCTTTGAGGATGAGACTCGTAGTAACATTGCAGACGACGAGAGGTGAGAAAGTGATTGGTTGATAATCAACCTGTATAAGGGCATTTTATATTATAAGTTGTGGTGATATAATTGGTTGATAATTGACCAATGAAAAAAGTTGTTGATATTTTGGGTGTGAACCTTGAAACGGAATGATTGTTCTATAGTTTTTTGTGAAAGAAAACAGTTGTTAAAGTTTTTGAAGTTTAATAGTTTTAAGTGTATCTTCACCTGTCTAGATATACGCTGTAAATTAGCTTTAATTTCATTCTCTACCTCCTGTTTTTGGCTGAATCAAAATATAACTATTCTACACCCACTCCAATATGCAAACTGCTTTACTAATACATAGAAATGAGCATATTTACAACTTCAGGAATGTTTCTGTATAAAATATGTATACAGTACATATTACTGTAATACAGTAGCTGTGTAACTGATTCGTGTGGAAGGCAGTAGGCCAAGAAATATTTGATGGCAGAGGGTGGCACTATGTTAGATATCTGAGTGGGTTGCATTGCAGTTATTTTTGAAAATCGTTTGAGGTCAGTTTGCATTTTGTGTGTGCAAAACAGTTGAATTTACATGGGTGCCTGTGGGAATAAGTTGAACTCGGTTGAGAGAAATAGAATTTTTTTACCCATAAAAGAGGCTTGGTGAACAATAGGTTTGATATGAGTAATTGTGCGATTTACAATTTTTTATATTTGAACAAGAATCAAAGTAGTGTGTTGTGTAACTGTATCATTTTGAACTAGTACGTTGTCTGTACATAAAAACTCCAGCTTTAAGAATGTGTGCGTTGTGTTATTTTTTCTTTTGTGTTTGGTGAACCGGAGGATGAAAATGCTTTGGGTGGTGGAACGAAACAGAGGAAGAAGCAAAACCATGACGTGTGTTTGCTTTGCAGATTTTGATTGTTCGAGTGAGACTGCCCACTCGTTTCCAAATGGAGGGCGCGAGAAGGAGGGGGGGGGGGGTCTTTGAAAGAAGTAAGTTTGTTATAGTTAATAGTGGTAGAACCCCCAAATGCATTACGCCTTTCGAGTTCTTTGAATAGAAGATAAGTGCTGTAAGGTTTGCCATTGAGCGAAGTGCGTCTGTGGCGATATATGATTAAATTTTGGATGTTTTATTCAGCTGAAATGAATAAGACGATTAGAAAGTGAGCGGAAGTGAGAGCATTTGAACATCTTGTGTTTCTATTGGAAAAGATGAGATGGAGGCAGTCGTTGTCGGTTCTCGTTACAAGTGAATGTAGAAACTTTTGATGTGAATTGTGGAGAAGCCGTCTATTGAATTGCGTCAAATAAACACAGTAGGGTGCTAGATTGGTGACCTAGAAAGTCGACACAATGTAAAAGTAGCGAGATGTTAGAAGTGAGTAGGGACGACTGTTGAATTTCAGCTTGAACCATCTTCCTTTTTAGGTCAACTTCTCCCGTGCCTAGCTAAATAATTGTTAAAGGTAAGGATTTGTACTAAACAAAGTATTAACGTGTTTTTTGAGCAAATATTATACTATAACAAATTTACCGATAAAGAATTGCGAATTGTACAAAATGAGAAAGGAAACGTGTTAAGTCCGTATCAAGAATAAACGTGATTTATTGTTTTAACTGGTTGTTATTGTTGTAGATGATCTGTATTCCTACACATTGCAAAATCTGGGTATTGACGATGCACTAAATGGGGACATTGCTCGGCCTGTTAAAGGTTTATTCAATCAAAAAGTCGGTGTTCACATCCAATATTTGAAAAATATAAAACATACAGAAAAGTAAATAAAAAGAAACTTAGAAAGCATTTTAATTTTTTCAAATACTTAAAAACACGTTGTCACGATAAAAATGGCACAAATTAAATTGACGTCTTGTAAATAAAGACATTTTAGCTATGGGCATTATTCTTAATTTAACATACAATACATGTAAGTTGTACATGAAAGCATGGCTATGGCACTGCACACTTGACCACAACACTGTGAAATTATAAAAGTTAGCAATTTATGTCGATTACTTCTCCCTTAACCAAAGTTTTTCACTGAACACGCACACCCCTCAGGCCCGTAGCCAGCAAATTCAAAAGGGGGGGTTCTTCTTCTGAAAAAGTGGACCTTTTACAATGAAACTTATGTGTACATAGATACATGTAAAATTTTACCCAAAATGGACCTTTTCCTGACGAACCCCCTGAACCCCCCCCCCCCACGGCTACGGACCTGCCCCTAAAAAGTGTACAAATTAAATAACATTCATAAAGCTATACTCGGAAGATTTTTTTCTGCAATAAATAAAACAATTATCATAAGCACCTTATTGGGCAACATTTAGAAATTGGATCAAGGGCTGGGTGTTTTACTCAGATGGCAAGAGCAATATTAATATTTTCACGGCAGACTTGAAAAGCGTGATCTATACTGGGCCACTTAAGAAAAAGGCTTACGTCAGATTATCGTCGGTGACGCAGACATTTTATGTAATATTTGCATAACTGTTGCATACGAGTAAAACTTTCTTCCCACCTAGTACCTATAAAATCTTTTCATGCTATGACCAGATTGTCTCATTCGCAAATCATGACAAGACCAATAAGAAAATAAGTATCACAGTAATTGACACAACGCTGAAAGTATGTCCACGGCTAGTCCCACTTGACGAAGTAGGACCGCAAGGTGGGGCGCCGCTAGAGGGGGTAGTTGTCCCGCTAGGTGTAGTTGGCATCGGCAGGTTCCCAGACGCCGTCCCGTAGAAGGTGATGTTGTAATCGTACAGAATTCCTGTAAAAAATAAGTACATTATAAGGTACCTAGTTAAAAACACCGCTTTCATTAGCTCACTGTTAAACTTTTTTTCTAAATTTAAAAGTCATTTGATATTGTAATAACAGGTTGAATGGAGAAATTGATAGATTTCCTCACCAGTGTGGTTGGCATCTCCGGTGGTGCTTTCAAACTTTAATGTCCAGTTTCCCTCCGGACGTTCTCCCCAGAACTGGACACTGGTCACGGTAACCTAGCAACGACAAACATAGTATCACCGTCTAAAATGACAAGGGTATGGATTGCCAAACGTGTAAAACAAGACATTTTGTACATTTCCAAATAAGTTTCCTACCATTTAATAAATCAATTGAAGTGGACCAGTAAATTCAGTTCCTGTTGACGGCCAAAAGGATAAGATCCATTTAAAATTAAATCTAAAAAGAGAAGGAGGAAATTGTAACTCGTGCATACCCCTTGTTAAGCTGATAAACGGTGAAATCTATAGATAACCCGTTATCAAAACGCTCATTTGAAACAAAGCTTCAGCTTTGTGAATAATACCAGTCTTGCTCTAGACGGAAAAACGAGAAGCACTTAACTGAGTATATAGCGTTTGACATATGGCTACTCGTTTAACTTCTTAATAGACTGATGAACCCTTAGTCCAACGTTTTAAAGACTGCTTCTGGATTATCTAAAATTAGCGATACCAAGATCTTTGGGAGCTGGATAAAGGGAGAACCAGATAAAAATCACGACGGACGGTCATGATTTACCTCCAAGTAACTCGACCAATTATCATTCGGCCTCCCTGGAATGAGGAGAGATTCAGTTCCCGATGGGGATTGCAGAGTGACCTTGAGTAACCCTCGTGACTCGAACCTGGCCAACATGTACACCCTCACGTGCTCGAGATTTCGGATTTGGCATCCGTTTACTGATGGCGTCACCGTGCGCGGAAGAGTTCTACAAACAAAACGCCATGATAAAAGAGGGTTCATGCCACATTACCCCCCCCCCCACCACCTTTCTGGAGCACTTGTTTTTACGTAAAATATTTAGTCACTGAAAATATTTTTATAAACTAGTTGAAATAATAGAAATAGTAGAAATAAAAGAAATAGTAGTTACTTTTTACAAGATAATGGTACATTGTCATGGATGTGATTAGACTCCTGTTGACAAAGTATTTGTGAGGTTTTTATAGAGCGCATTCCCATAGATTTTAGATCGATCTATCCCCGTGGGGAGTCTCACTAGATTACTGTTAGATAATCCGACTTAAATGTCCGTCCCGCCTACTACAAGCTGTAAGGGGGTAATTAACTTTCGTGCCCGCTCGGCTGACAGCTATTAAGCGTGAAACCCCAGGGAGTTAGGTCGATCTAGTTGGATCGATCTCATCTCTGGGAATGGGGTCTTACACAATGATTTGAGTGTAAAAACATTTCAGGAGCAAAGCAGCTTGCACTGCATTAAAATGGAAATTCATTACTGTACAGAAAATAATTTCATTCAAAAAATGGCAGTAGGGGTAAACTTGCTTGGCGTTCAGTTACATACTCGTTTATTGAGGTGTTATCTCTGACGTCACAGGTCTGGACTGGCGGGACTGTTGACCAGTTTACTGCTGACTTCACTAGGGCCTCGGCATTTAACAGACCAAATCCAAACGATGAACTCACTGCAAAGAATGCTTTCAATATGTGATGCTACCTTCAAATATGTGAAGTAATAATTTAATAGTAGGTAATGGTGTGGAGAATTCTTAGTCTGTAAGAGAAACTACTCAATCAGCGTGCAATTTTTTTCACCATTTTATTTCGTTTCCAAACCTAGTGGGATTTAGTCGTCGCCTTTGGTTTGGTTCCCCGGCACGAAGTAAAATTTTCGTTTGCATTTTCACAAATTTAAGAAAAAATCATTCTGCATCTTATAATAATATTGAAAGAGAACCAGACCTTTGTAACGAGTGTTCATAAGGCTCTGTCTTTAAACAAACTTGTTCTGTTAAGCCTTATTCAAAAAATGCTTTTTGAAATTTAATTGTGACGTCATTTCACCTGTGAAGCCAACTGCATTAGTAATCCACTTTACCCTGGGATCTGGCGGATTGCTGACGAAACCACGAGTGGACGTTCTGGCGATGAGGTGCTGTACGTCACGCCATGTGAGGTTGGGGCTAAAACATGACGTCACATTCGCTTAATCATTCATCACATAAGCAAAGAAACTACGATTTTTACGCACCCAGGATAGAGCCCGCAGCTTGTTTAATGCTGACGAGGTACCTATATTGAATTCGTAAAGTTAAAAATAATTTGATAAAAAAAATTCAAACAATTTGCAAGGTGGTACCGATACCTGTATGTGTTTCGTGCGTGTTATGTGCGGTACACGTTTCTGTTTCGAATTTACAGGTAATAGCCCAACATATAAGCAGTGAAACACTGGATATCGCTATCCTATGGATAACACCATCCTTAAAATTGTTATCCTATAGACAGTTATCTTGAGGATAGCAGCCTTTTAACCACTGGAAAGGAATATTAGAGACAGAAATAAGTATCGTTTGTTTAGTAAACATTACTTAACCCACAGGATAACTGTCCAGAGGAGAACAATTTTATCCAGTGGATAGCGTTATCCAGCGGTATCCAGTGTTGATGAAACTTGGTCCTGGCTATTAAGCTGCTAATCTCAAAAAATGGTTCTGAATTTAAGAATGTACCGAACGATGGGAAAGGGGCCTTTGACTCACTTCGCTTCTAATGCCAGAGCTATAATCCCCGCTGCAATGGGAGCCGCGGCAGAAGACTCCGCGAAATCTGTGGTACAGACTTCAGCGCCGTTTCCAGGCGAGTACTGAAAACAAAAGGCAATCATTTATGAAAGACTTATATATATGACACATTCGTAACTATTGGGGTTATCTTCCTGATTGCGCCTCCACGTCAGTACAGAACGCAGAGTCGATAAACGTTACTTTGAATTAACCTTATCTTAACTATAGTGAGGCCCGTAGCCAGGGGCCGCCCCTTTTGCTGGGAAAAGGTCCACTCTGGGTAAAATTTGATCTAGGTACATGAAGTTTTTATGGGAAAGGAAAACCCCCTTTGAAATTGCTGGCTACGGGCCTGTATAATACCAACTTTTTCCTCTCCCCCTCCCCCTTCGCTCCCCCTCTCTCTCTCTCTCTCTCTCTCTCTCTCTCCTCAGCTTTCAACATTTTTCTCCTTACTATATTTCCGCGCTGACTGGAATCGTCTGTACTTTTACCAATCACGGTGGCCATCATGGCGCTGCACTTCTCCCCGGTCTTGAGCATGCGCCCTTCCTCCGTCATGCCACTGATGCCGATGGTGTTCACAGCATTTGTAAATTTGTCATACGCGCAGCTGTCACGCTCACCTTCGCCACCATTGCCAGCTGCAAATACATAGATGGCGCCCTTACCTCCACGACCCTGAAGATACAAGAGGTTCCAAAACATATAACACAAGTTGTTTCAGAAATTGAAATCTATCGTTAAGCAGCTATAGTGGACGTCCCAGACATATAAGCACCTTGGGCTGAAAGCAATTTAGCGAGGGACCCCGTGAAAATGGACCTATCCTGTTAGATCGATCTACGGATGGGAACCCAGTCTTACACAGTTAAAAGAAGTTTAGAAAAATAGGTGACAAACTGTCAGTCATTTGACGACATTTCTCCTCGCCACGGGATACAGAAAATCACTCTCAAGCACGACTGACCTGTGTCATGCCTTTCTGCAAGGCCGCCTTCTCTAGGGGCTTCATCTCTTCTAAACTAAATCCCAACCGTGGGGTGCCCCAGCTACAGGAGTATATGTCCACCTTGTCCAGACTGGACACAAGAGCCTTGGCCTGAAGCGCGTCCGTCAGCGTTACGCCGTTTGCGAACATGCGAATACCTAAAAGCAGACAAAAGTGTGCAGCCACAAATAAAATGTATTGGGCTTTAATATGAGTGGATCATGGATAGCAGGAAGACCCCCCTCCCGTTGCAAGCATTTAAACAATAGAGTTAATTGTGGGGTATTTTAATGTGCTGATTACATAAAATACGACATATCAGGTTTGGAAGTCTAAGGTCTAGTGATACGCACCAGCTATCTTAGCAGAGGGCGCTACTCCTACACCACAGAAATCATTGGCTGCCGCTGCAATAATCCCGGCTGCTGATGTCCCGTGACTGCAACGATACAGTGATGTTTTATATCCACTTACGGGCAGAGCGGACGGCTCAAAACCCATCGTTATGTCAAAGTTTAATAACTTGCATCTAAGATATTTTAGGAAAATGATGTTTTTAATAAATTCTCAAAAATTCATGACTCTACTTTTTTTAGTTTTGGCACACCGAAAAAATTAAATATTAAGTCGAAAAATACCGTACCTGCCTATGTGACTTCTGACAGGTGTCAGTGTCTGGCAGTTTTGACACCTGTCAATCAAGTGTTTAATTTTGCGATAATGTCAAAACTGTTTGACTTTAATACTTGGAAATTTTCAGGGTTGACAAATAATAAGATATCAAAAATCTGTGCAAAATCCCATTTCAAAAGCTTGTGAACTGTTACCTGTCCCTGGCACTTGGATTCGGATCAGCATCATCATGAGCTACGTCATAACTTGCCGTTGCATCCTGTAAAGGTAACCAAAATAATCACTCAATGTCGCGCTAGCCATAAACGCTACACCTTGAAATGTGAATGTTTATGCATTGATGGAAAATTGGGTTGACATTTTCCGTTATTTTAATCGGTTTTGTATTACTTTTCCTATGGTTATCTTTAGAAACAGTTATTTTTTACCCCTTTCACACACAAGTCAATGAAAAACCTTTTTCACCGAATACATACGTAGTTTGGTTTGATGTCTTTGTTTTCTGTCCACAAGCCGTCGTCAATGGCGGCCACCGTGACGCCACGCCCAACTCGGCATTGATTCCACGCCTGTACTATGCGCATGCTCAATCTTCCAGTGGCGTTCTGTTAAAAAAAGAAAGATAGAAAACACGAGGAAAAAGAAAGGAGCCAAACACATTTGTTTATGCAAAAGAACCTCCCCCCAGTAAAATTTAATTAAAAAATAATGATAATAATAACTACATAAAAATTGACGCCACGATAGCTGTTAAAGACTTTCTGACGATTTCTCTCACATATAAGCCCTATACTGTGTGGTAATTATCTGTACTACCGGTGGCAGTTCACGTACCATGTACCACGCTTGCTCTCCCCATTTTGGGTCGGTTATGGTAGCATTGCGCCAAGTGATGTCTCGAAAAAGTTCACATCCCGCCACCTTTTGCCGCTGCCACCAAAGAATCTATGAAGAGAGGAAAGAGATTGGAACACGGCGTGAGGAGAGATCAAATTTGTGTCTTTGGTTGTAAACTAAAACCACTAGGGTCGGGTGTGTCGCATTCTGGGGTGTTTGGCCATTAGGAAGATCGATTCAGGATTGAAAAATGTCCGAAGACTATGTGTAAATTGAATAACCAACTGACATTTTTTATCAGACTTAAACCAAATATGTACTTCATTTAAATTTGTTTCACGTCTAATTAAAAGAGAAGATTATCTCTGTGTGTGTGTGTGTGTGAGAGAGAGAGAGAGAGAGAGAGAGATAGAGAACTGCACTGTCTGTATATATTTAAAATAGCAACAAATAAACATGACAGGAACATAACTTATTATATTAATATATAAACCGCTTAATAACTTACTTGGGGATCTTTCTGGAGCAAAAGTTCCTTTTGTTGTAAGGAAAAAGTCGTCTCTTTTGTAAGACTTTCAAACGTATAAATGTCGTCAAATATCTAAAAAGAGGTTTTAAAAAAGATAACATTTAAGACATTAAAAAAATCTTTGTTGGTTTAAAAAATCGATGAGATTTAAATTATATAAAATAACTAGTTGTACCAGACATCATACAGATTGAATGTAGATGGACTCTTGGACTTGGCGTATTACGCACCCACATACGCACTCTCACACATGCACACACTTACATGAGAAACCTTCTGAAACCCGTGTTTTTCCGCCAGTTCTCGGGCTAACGTGACGTCACCACCGGCGATCTGCACTGCCCACGTATTTGTGTAGCGGACACCTGCTCGTGGGCCGTCCCCACCAGAATCTGGTATTTGTGCCGAGCTTGTAAAGATTGACATACAGACGGTAAGCAGTGTGAAAAGAATCATGGAATACTTTCCCTTAATCAAACTTTTTTAGATATAAAAATACCCACGGAAACCATTCACGCCCTACCTGCACTGGTAGGCCGTGATTTTTATTAAAGATAAAGGTTTCTTTTATCCATTATTATTTTTCTTTAAAATGGAGCGTACAACCATTTTAAGTTAAGCATAACCACATACTTAAAATCGGTCTAATGGATAAAAGTCAAAGTGCAGACAACAAACACAAAAAAAAGACCTATGTCTATATTATAGGGTACAAAGAATCGCTGCGGGCGATTTTCAAGAAAACAATAATAATTCAATTAAATGTAGGGCCTATTTGGACTATCAATACTACGATGGTGGATCCAAAGCGCCCCCATCCCAGCACGTAATAATTAAAATACATAGGCCTATAAATAATAAAAAAGCAAAAAGAGACATGTACAGATTAAGTAATTTGCCATTCCTGCCCCGGGTATAAAGTAAAATTGACCTCGTCTGCTGTTTTACGTATGCTTCGATTCGTTTGGCAAAATTATGATTCTCGTCGATGTCACTGACAAGCGACTAATTGTGCCCCCCCCCCCTCCCCCTACTCCACCTTCCCCCTCAATAAACCCCTTAATCCACAAGTGTAGGCTAATGGACCTCTTAAAATAAAAGCTTTATCTAAAATATGCCGATACCCCATCGCATTCACCATATCTTACCTTGATCTGTCTGCTACAAGAAGAAGCACCAAAGTAAAGACTTGAGCTGATAGTGTCATGTTGTTTATAGCGGTTCTGAACATTGACACCAGATGTCACTCTACAATACAAACCAAGATAGTTTTCTAATTAGGTCATACTCTCGTCACCTTGACACAAGAATGTCTGAGAATATTTCTTACTGGAAACATAATATAGCGAAGCATTAAGTAATTCGCGTTCTAAAGCAAGAGTATAAGGGGCATAGAACGACTGGAATGTAATGGAATTCCCCCCTTTCGATCTGTCCTCCCTTCGACTCCACTCTCGATCCCTTTCTCTTTTTCATTTTACACACAAACATATAACACATAACATATAACGCTCTCTCTCTCTCTCTCTCTCTCTCTCTCTCTCTCTCTCTCTCTCGCACACACACACACACACACACACACACACACGGTTACATCGTAGGCTATTCACTGGCAGTCGACATATTTGTACCGGGGTACACGGCGTACACAACGAGCCTTACCTTGTTTCTTAATTGTCTTAGTATAACGTATTAACAAATTACTGCCATTGTGAGAAAGGTTCCAGGAAACCAAGCTCGATAATCGAATATTCAGTCACATTTTCCTGGTTGTGAAATCTGTTGTACTACGCTGTCCGAAATTATGTTCAGGGATGACGTCATAGGTCAAGTGCGTGTCACCGCCCTGATAATATATGAGCATCAGCTGAGGTTGCTAAAAACGAGGCCTTGTAAAATCATTTATTTTTAGCTCAGAGTGAGGTAATCTGTTTACCACATAAAGCAACCTAGGCTCAAATCACATCTGTTTTCTCGCATTTCATCGAGATACATCGGTGAATCGTGTCGTTTTCTTATTCATTGACTGTCGTTTACGGGTCTAGATGAAGCGCTTAGTTCATGCGTGTTTAAATATTGACACTGCCTGACTGCTTGATAAACGAGTAGGTATCTTGGTTTCTGTATTTGTTGTATAATGCATATCATTCATCCCGAAAATTGCTTGGCAACGGATGAGATAAGCCTGATAAGCGGACGACCTGGCAAACTGCAAGTTTAAATAGAATCGGAGGTGTGCGCACTGATTGCGTTGTTTACAAACGTAGTTTGTTACCAAAGCGTAAACGGCGAAAAGCAATTCTCTCTCTCATACATACACACACACTCACACAAAAAGTACTATTTTTAAATATGATCGCTTGTTTCACAGCAATAACAAACACCGGATAGAATTAACATTTATTTACTGATACACGTGTACACCACGGCATCGTAGCCTACTCAGTAGGCCTACTTGTTTTCGTACGAATGCACAAGCAGTTTATTTCAGTTAATAGTTTCAAAATATTGTGTGAAGTGTCCGAGAGAATAGTTTTATTTCATTTTTATTTTTATTTCATTATCTCAAATTCATTTTTCTTCCAAATTGACAGTTGCCCCTAAGAAGTAGGCCCTAACTGTTCAAAAATTTAACTTAACTCAAGGATTATAATGGAGAAGTAGTGGGTTAGGGGATTCCATTTTTAACATCTCCTTTAGAAGATAAAACTATCCTTACTAGAGGATTATAATGAGAAACATATAATATCATCGTGAAAAAATGTATAATCCGTAGAAATAATTAATCTCTGTCAAATAACGGCGTAGAGATTACAATATCAAGACTTTACTTATTCGTGCGACTCATTCAGTGATTCCAGTGAGATTCTTATTTCTGAATACAGAATTTCAAATTATATTAGGCCTACTGTCTGATAGTCAAGCTCATCATCCGAAAATAAATATAAGATAAACGTGTGTTCGTAAACGTTATTGGGGGTTGACAGATAGAAATCAGAGACGATGTCTTGTGGAATGATAAAAAAGGGCGTTCCATCAATCTAAAACAAGAGAAGGTAATTAAGTTAAGGAGGAGGCCTTATTCCAAACACAAATATGTGTAAGCAGTAATGAGAATTCAAAAGAAGTCCCTTTTTTGTTAAACGAATGGGGTTTTATAGAAATAAGTGTGATAAGAGTGTTTCCAACCATGGGTTGCAATCCCTCCCCACGGAAGTAGTTCCTGTCAAATGTCGTCTGTCTTCCTACCTACGTCATCGTGACGTCAGTGGGACTTTAGGAAGGCGTCATGCACTGTCGCAACGGCTTCAACGAACTTCAGGATTAACATTCGTAGTGCAAGAAGATCTGGAAATATTCGAGAACAGCCAGATTGATAGTCTATCTTTATTTTTTCTTTTTGAAATAAACCAGTCCATTAATATTTCCATTCTTTCCAAATACTGAATTTATACGTTCACGGCATTAAATTAATTGAATCGTTAATGTTATAATAGGTATATACATTTAAGAAAAAAATAAATATTTAAGAAATGAATAGAAGTAAAACAACTAATGTGCTGGCCGAAAATTCATTTATTCCCCATTTACTGTTATCAAATATAATTACGTTTTGAATCGAAACAATAATAAGATAAGCTAGAAACATGTACACACATTAAAGAAATAATAATCATTCAATGAATTACGAAAAGTGACATTTAAAGCATAATCAGAGAGCGCAATTATCTCTGTCAAATATGAAATTAATTTCATTGGGGGTAGGGGAAGAAAAGGGGGTGGGATGGGGGGGTGGGGAACCTCGTACGGGACAAGAGATTTAGAAGCAGTCCGATAGTTTTGAACTGGGTAAAAAATCTGGTCTGAAGTGGAATTATGCTCTTTAAATGATTGTGCGTGTTACTGAGAGGAGCTGATGAACCCCAAATTAAATTACAACAATTAATTTGTTTTTGAAAATAGGCGAAATTGATGCTGCTATCGAAACAAACAAAAGATATTCCAGTGTCTCTCTACGGTCTGTATAATAAGAATATATATATATTTGATCCATTTAATGCGACGTGGAGAACGCAAAACCAGCAAGACATGCACCTTATTTTTAATTTTTATAATTTTCATTAAATTTCTTATCAGTATTTTATGTTCTACACGTTTATGTATGACTGATCTTTTTACCACAATCATGTCAAAATTTAACCTTTAGGTAATGATTTTCTGATACAATATTATTATTATTATTATTATTATTATTATTATTGTCAGAAAAGTCACAGATTACTGAGCTTTTTGCTTCTTTACCCTGTATTTAATAGTGTTCAATAAAGTCACTCCAAGCTTCCAAACACCTGGAATTTTCCTTAGAACGTAGTCCTAAGCCAGCACCTACCGTTATCATACACGGTGTTACAAACCATTTTAATATGGAAGGAGTAATAGGGAAAGGAAACGTCCCAAGAACTTGAGGTATACCAATTCCCGGTAGACATGCATGAACAGAACTCGTTTTGCTGCATGTAGGTCAAATTTAATTCATACGGGAACTTCTTCTGGTAAGAACAGCTGATTGAGGCCCACAAACCTCTTGAACATTGCACTTGATAGTACAGGTCCTGAGAGAAAGTGGCTAAAAGAAATTCGTATTTTTCACCGTTTGCACTATAGGTTAGGAGCCGACAAGCGCAGTCTTTGGGAGGCAGTGAAGTCGTCGTTGTCGACGTCGTTGTTGTTGTTGTTGATGTTGATGATGATGGCAACTGCGTTGGTGTTGTTGATGTTTTTGGTTGTGCAAAGGTTGTTTTCAGTTTTGACCCTGCTGGTTTTGTGGTACCTATGCTGGGAACAACCCCCTCTAACTGAACCGCACACCCTCCCTGTTTGCGATCTACGGGACAATACAGCCCCAAAGATGCCCCGCTTTGGAATTTAATATCAAGCCTCGAAGTTCCCTGATAGGCAGCTTTATACGAACACTTGCAGCCGTTTTGCGGTAAAGATTCAGGGTTGATGCTCAGGAAAGTGCAGAAGCGTGCTAACACATGTTTCACGCCGGGTTCTGTGCAGGAGATTAGGTAGGTTAAGCCGGAGAAGGAAATTTTAAATTGGCCCCAGTCTCCGGAATCAACTGAGTAGCACTGACAATTGCTCTCTGGCTTTACTGTGGGTGTTGTTGAACTGACTGTAGTCTTTGAGGTTGAAATTGGGGTCGGGGTTGACTCAGTTGGGGTGGTGACAGTTGTGGGTTTGGTGGTCGGTAGAGGAGTGGTGGTAAGCCTGAATATTGGTCTTGCAAAGCACCCACCAGATGCCCCTGACCCAAGAGGACACGTCATCGCAAACACGTCCTTTGTGGGGAAATGAGGGAAGTGTATTGTCCACGTTGTAGCTGTGGGGAGTTTATTGGTAACGTTGCACGCACAGTTGGTGGGGTTTTGCGGAAACCCTACCAGCGTCGAAATGACATAAGTGCACAAGGTGAAGGGGGGACTCAAGGCCCGAGGGCAGGTAACCGCCAGAGATTTCTGGTTCACCATAATTTTGAATTTGTTGGAGCCCAGAGACGCCGTGTTGGAGAGGAAACATTTACAGACAGAGGATGACGTAGCTTTGGAAGAGGTTGTGGTTGGAGGGGAAGGGGTGGTGGTAGTTTTCACTGTGGTAGTGATGGGTGGAGCAGTGGTCGGGCCGTGTGTCATTCTGACAAAACAGTTGCCTCGTTGACAAACTACATCCACGATTTCTGCCAGGTTTGTAAAGACCAACTCCCACGAGCCCGCGAACATGTCACGGCGACACACACACGTGCTTTCATTTTCAGCTTTCCAAACAGGGATAAAAGACGTCAGGGAGGGGCATACGAGGTAAGAGGAGGGTCCCCAGTGTTTCACACAAGTGACATCATAGCTTAAACCTTCAGAGTAAATTTGGAAGCGGTCGGGATTGTCAGCGCTCAGGGCACACTTACATCCGGGCATTCCCGTGGTGGTAGTTATGGTGGACGCGGTCGAGGTGGGTGCAGCAGCACTGGGAGTCGGGAGAGACCCAATAGGTGCCTCTTTGGCAAAGCATCCTCCGTTCGACCGCCCAACAGGACAGAGAACCTGTAGCCGGAATTCTACGTCTGGGTAGGTGACAAGCCACGTGCCCGTGTCCGTGTTTAAATCTACGGAGGAACAGTTACAAGCCTGATTCCCCGGTGGCCATCCTTTGAGTGGCGAAGAAATAAATGTACACGTGCTATATTGAGTGGTAGTAAGGTCTGTAGGGCAGCTCACTTCTAGTCCAACACTGCCAGAAACAAGCCTAAACTTATACGACTGTATTGTGTCCAAGAACGAACAACGGCAAGAAGATAACGTTTTCTTGGTGGTGGACTCAGGTTGCCTTGTGCTCGTGACGGTTGGCGCCATTGTGGTCGAAGGGGCCGGGGTGGGACGATGGACATCTGTGGGTCTGGCCCGTGATGGCGGATATGGAGTGGGGACAAACCCACTGACAACACCTTGGTTGCACGTGTTGTTATTTGTGGTGCTGAGTTTCACTGGGAAACCATCCTTGGTACCATAGATGTTTACGGTTAAGTCAAACAGCGTCCCTTGAAGTAGCAAAATAAAAACAGTCAGCAGTGAGTCGTTTATGTTTTGTATCCAAGTACATTATGAACACATGCTCACATTAAAACACTTTCAATTTGACCATGGTACTATTAGGCCTCGTTAAAATCACAGTAGGTACATGTACTCAAAGTAAACCTTTATCTTCTTTTGTCTCTACATCTCTCTCTCTCTCTCTCTCACACACACACACACACACACACACACACACGCACACACACACACACGAACAGACACATAACACACACCTGTGTGATTTTGGTCAGGATAGATGCTGCCAATATGGACTTTCCAATCTCCTGTGCCCTGCTCGCCCCAGAACTGAACACTGGACACGTTCAACTCAAGGTACCTAAACATAGAGTCACATGGATAAAACGAGGGCCTGAAACTGACCTCCACATTTTTGTGGTTTGCAATGGATTGGTTAAATATGTTGAAATCTGACAGCAAGCACTTTTCCTTTATTTTCTTCGAAGGTGCCGCGATTTTAGTTTCAGTATATTGGAGATTGGCAATCTAATCTTGAATGGCGTTATAGAATAAAAATGATCTAGAACTGATTAATTATTGGTAGTTTTTAATTTTAGACAATAACGATATAGCAAAATAATAAAATCGTCTTATTATTACAGGAGGATCTATATACCCTTATGTCTGCACCATAGTGCTTTACTTTGTCAGGCAATAATTGTAAATTGTATTTAGCCATTGCATGTATTGTAAAAGACACATAAGAAAGAAATTGTCTAACCATCTTGGGTTTAGAAAGATAAAGAAATAAAGATAAATAAAAATATAAAATAATACCGGGAACAATGAAAAGAAAAGTTTAGAGTAGCAGGGTCCTCACCTGGACCAGAGGTCATTTTTGCGTCCGGGAATCATGAGTGACCGCGTTCCAACCGGAGACTCCAGTTCCATCTTCACATACCCGCGTCCGGCAAAGTACACGAAGACGAACACTTCCACGTGCTCTACGAACTTAATATCACAGCTCTTGAAGTCGACAGTAGTTGTGCCTGGCAGTTTTCTGAAAGATTGTGTTCGTTTTTGTTAAGAAAATTACAATTTCAGAAAAAAAAGAAAAAGCCGGCATTACAGTCTGAGCTTCAGGATAAAACAGATCGCCTGGAAACTTTCTCATATGCATGTCTCAAATTATTCTATTTTTAAGACAAATAATAATACATGGTAATGTCGAGAGTTTAAGTATATCACGGGTGCGCCACGTGAGGTTGTTATTACTGCTAAGTCGTACTTTTTTTTTTTTTTTTTTTTTTTTTGAAAATCGTATCCTGTTTTTATTGGGTAGTGAAAATGGTCATGCAACACATAGATTTGGGTCATATTTGCGTCCAATTTCTTTTGCACGTTATTTGCATGCAAAATGCCGAAGAACAAAATGATAACCGGTTTCGCATGAAAAACGGACAAATACTAGTACTGTGACAGATGCATAGTGAAATATTTGTATACGCCTGATTTACCTTTATTTGTTTCATTTTTGTATGTACATGTAGATAGCCACCCATTGTTTTTGCTCCGCCCTTTAACGGACATAGAACAAAAGCCGTCGACTCGTTACATTTCCATTCCACATTTACTTCATGCTTAAATAAAGGAAATATTTCAGCGGATACATACCCGTTGATACCCGTCATCTGTTTGCTGCACTTTGTCTGCTCGGGGACATTTTGCCACCGCTCAGCAAAATCCACCATCTTTGCAGCGTCCAGCAACCCAAAGCCAAAGGTGGAACTGACTGAAGCATGAGCAACAAAATGTTACTGTGTCAGCATGGTGACTAAAAAACTTTCTCTCTCTCTCTCTCTCTCTCTCTCTCTCGATTAATTACTGGGCATATATTATTAACAATAAGCTGTATTTAGTCAACTTAGTCATCTTAGTCTTAATTACGGGGTTACATGTCAAACAAAACAGCAACAATGTTCAAGAACTACGATTTGATTGTATATATTTAGACCTGTTGTGTCAATGAGACGAGTGGCTATTATGTTAACAAGAAAAAATGGTAAAGGAGGCTGATTTTTATGTCAAATGCACTCATAGATTACTAAACCATGCATATACTGTATGTGAAAGTACTATGACATACTATGAAGGAGACTTCTTCTTCTGTACGCTCAACTAGGACACACAGTTTGGAAAATGGCACTGTCTTTATTCCTAAAATTTGAAACTACTACCGCAATGTAGGCTAAACATTAACGTCGCTCACCATGGAAACCAGCACCATTTACAAACCACCCGGAGTCAGGGTCGTATCTTGCAAAGTCGGATCTGGCGCTTCTTGTAATCAGGTGCATGACGTCACGTGATGTTAAAGATGGGCTGATAGAAGAACAAGATTGAATGCTTGTTAAATATACGTGCACTTGTTTGTGTGTCGAGATCATTGAGTTTTATTTCATTTTGTGCAAATCCAATATCACTGTAGATAATTCAAGTTTCGCTCATAAAGCCAAACGTCGTAAAAATCACTGACCTTTATTTTCAGATATGTTATAAAACAATTTGATTCGCTTCATCAATTTTAAGACGCGCATCTGTTTCCATTTGCCATTACATACTACAACAAACACTACCATTACTACCCTCCTACAGTAACAATGCAATAATACAAGGCATTAAAAATGTGACACTCTTGAAAATATCTATTGCAATCATTGTCTATCATTTCCATGTATCTTAAAAGAACAAAATTCAAGGAAACGTTACTTACTTTGCCTCCAAGGCCAAGGCTATTACTGCAGCGACCATGGGAGCTGCAGCAGACGATTCTCCGAAGTCGTCTGCACACGTCCACTGTCCGTACCCAGTGGTGAACTGGAGATAAAAATTTACATTGACGATTGCGGAAAAACAACCAAAAATAAAGGTGTTATCTATTTATTTATTTATTTACTTATTTATTTATTTATTATTTGTGTCGCCTGGGAACCACATTACTTCCTCTTACAATTCCTTTTGAATCTTACAACGAATAGCGACTCCAGAAGAAGCTTATTCAGGCGTTTCGTAAATGCATGATGTATGATGATGATGATTGCTTCTCCACGTGTGTATGAGCTACCATAGCGACCTAAATACAGAAAAACAAGACACGAAAAAAGCACGTGAGGCTTTCATCCAATTAAAATCCAGGTCACTGAAGATACTTACTATCTTATCATACCATCTGTTCGGTTCCATGCTGCTTTTGCTGTATGCCGTCGCCATCATGGCGCTGCACTTCTCACCTGTTGGCAACTTGCGCCCTCTATGAGTGAGTCCGCCAACTGGAATGGTGTAGATACTGTTTGCAAACCCGTCATACGCGCAGCTATCGTCATTGGTACCACCATTACCTGATGCAAATACGTAAATGGACCCCTTTCCACCGCGGCCCTAACAAATACAGTGATTTTTATTTGAAAGATTCACCGAAACCGTTAAAATACATGATAATAATTATATGAATTTTTAACAGTGGCTTTCTATCGTATATTGTTTAGAAATGTTATCTAAAATTATTTCATGCTTAATTTTATAGCTAATAAAAAAAGAAATATTTTATTTGATAAAAGCAAAACCACACGTTATATAATAATTTTTGCTACTACTTAAAATAGGGTATACAACAGTTTCTTGTAGATGTGGTACATATACTAGTAGTAGTACATGTATACACACTTTGCGGATTTTCATGTACCAGGCAGAATCGATATGACACAGAGCAATTGCGCTCCTTAACACCGCCAAACCCCGCAGATACCAAAATCACCTCCCTTCCCTTAATGCTGATACTGGACGGACTGATGGGTGCGATCTCACGTGGGACCCACACTAACCTCTGTTGCTCCCTTTTTCATGGCACCCTTGGACAGCTCACCAATGGCTTTCAGATCGAACCCTGTCCGCGCCATGCCCCAGCTGCAGGAGTACACGTCCACAGTCTCCATGTTGTACGTCAGCGCGCGTGCTTCCAGAGCGTCTGTGATGCGTTTATTGCCAAAGATACGGATACCTATAACGAAAAGAACGAAAAGCGTGCCAACCAGATATAACCACTACCGTTTCAAAATGCTACTGGTTTATATATTTTGTGTAGTGGTCTGCCATACTCTTTTATTCCACCCCACTCCATTTCAAGTTTTCACATTCAACTCTGATATGCCATTTTTTATCCTTACATTCAATCCTATCTTAACAATTCAATTTGTTTCAATCCGTTATGATATGAAATACTATAGGTCTATCTACCAAATACCCCCAGTATGTATTTTGTCACTATACTCTTTTGTAGAACTATATAAACTTGCGTTAGATGTGTGAAAACTGGGATAATGCCGTACCTGCTACGTTTGCGTCAAAGGCAATCCCTACTCCACAGAAGTCGTTGGCTTCAGCCCCTATTATTCCAGCGGCGGAGGTACCATGGCTACAAAAAAAGATAATAGATAACATACACAACTTGGCTCGACCCTTTTCTACCAAAGAACTATGAAGCCTGAAAGCAGACGTACGTTAAAAAAAAAACTCCCGTTAAAATGTAGTGCAGTGCCACAGAGTAAATGAACTGAACTCAAATAGCCTGTTCTGTACCGGGTAATGCCAGCTAAACAATAATTACAACTGTCTTAAACCATATTATGTGTTCCAAATGTGAAATTATGCTGTCTTCTCACTAGTGCCTAATTCTTTCGACAGTTACGATGGTAGATAGTAGTGGTAACAAAAGGGCCCTTTCATATGGCGATTTTAGTTTTAAAAAATTGTCAACCAAGCCTTTTCTTTCAATTCATGACTGGAGACTAGTCTATTGCAAAATGGTGATCAATAACTAATAGACGAGTGCAGATGAGATAGTGTGTTGTTGTCATGGTAACCTACCTGTCGCTTGCAATGCCCGGCATGGGGGTTTTCCTGTCCACCTGCATGTCGTAACTGTTAAACAAATCCTAAACCAAAAGATAAGCATAAATATTTAGATTTTAAAAGAACATTTTCATTCTGTGGGTTATCTGAGTACGCTTAGCCTTTTCACTTCTGTCTTACCATCTTCTCTATTTTTCCTTAATCTTCAGAGGTCATGCAATCATATAAGTGAGCTGTTTTCAAACAGTGTTAACCATAAATTTTGTTTAAAGAGTGTCCTAAAGCAACATCGTTTATATTCTGGAAAAAGGTGTTCAGTTTCATTACTGTTTATGTGGTGTTTGAAAATTGGAGAAAACTCACGAAATTTCTCGCGAGATCGTAATTAGTATAATCAATCCCGTCATCCACCACGGCGACGTTGACCCCTTGACCTGTGCGGCAACGTTCCCATGCCTCCACGATATTCATACCGAGCACCGTGTTGTTCTGAATAAATGATAGAAAATAAGGGATAAATAATGAATATTATTTAATCCAACTATACGTAGCGTTCGTTATAAAAGTGAGAGTTTACATTTATACATTTTCCACTCGAATAAAATAAGATTTAAAGAAATTATTTTAACAGCGTGTGGGCGTTTGTGTGCGAGAGAGAGACGGGGGGAGGGGGGGGGGCACTTACAAGGTACCACTCCTGATCGCGCCATCTATCGTCATGTACACCCAAAGTTCCTCCAGGAGTCTGTCCAAACAAGGAACGCTTCACCACTTTCTGCTGTTTCAACCATTTTACCTGGCCCAGAATGATAACGGATATATTTTTTAAAGTGAAACATTTTTTTATTTCATGAAAAATGCATCCACTGTTTTAGGTAATTTCTTTTGATTACATTGTACCAGAGTGCTTTTTTTAAATACCCGCTTTTAATTAGAAATATACAAGTGCTAGCTGGGTACTTCATTATAAAAGATTTTGACATATGGTGCCACATTTTCTTTATGATTATACTCTGCGCGTTAGTGGTTATACAGTCTGTATGCACTACCAAACTTAAAACATTTACTAATGGCGCCGCAATGTAACTTATAACGATAATAAATACAGTACAAACCACACCTCCGGATCGGAGCTAAGAGTTCCATGCTTCTCTTCACTGGAATACCGATCAAAGTCCGGGACGTCCTTGTGTTCAAACATGTAGTAATCATCATATATCTGGAACAGTAGAATAAAATGATACTTCTAGCTTAGAAACAAATTTTAAAATTTTAATCCCTCAGCTTCTTTATTAAAGATTAAATATTATTATTATATTATATGCTGTCATCCATTATCTTATTTAGTTCTAATAAGTTATTGTTAGTTTTATTTTAGTATTTTCCATGAACTGTTCTTTTTTTTCTTTTGTGGTATAATAGATAGATTAAAAAAATAATTGAATAAAAGTGAAAACAAGTAAAATGAATTTGATGGAACAGTCTCCTGCCTGTACTTCTTTGAAATGAGTGCCCATTACGTTTATTCTGTTATGACTAACTTTAAAAGTCTTTTTATTTGCTCCTACTGTAATGTCTAGCTAATTAATGTTAACTATAGTCGGTGGTATACCTTTGCTATGTGCTCAAACCCATGCTTTAGTGCCAGTCGCCTTGCTACATCCTCGCCGCCTGCAATTTCCACGGCCCAAACATTTGTATAGCCATCTTCCGTGTCGCCATCTATGTTTTGTACAGACTCATCTAAAGTTCCAGAGGACGTGGTCACGGTGACGAGGCACCTAAACGACAACAATGCAACAACAACAATAACAACAAAATCAATAACAATAATAACAATAACACCACCAACAACTATAACAACAATGATGATGATAATAATATTAATAACAATACACCCTTAGACATTAATTTTCAAAGGCTAAGTAAACCTTTAATTATAAGAACTTCTGGCTCCTTTCAATTTAAACAATACGAAATCTTTACATCGTTTCAACGCGGTTCTAGCAATACATAATAAACAACAGCACTGACTTACAAAGGATAACAGGCCCGTAGTCAGCAACTTCAAAAGGGGGGGTTCTTTTTCTGAAATAGTGGACCTTTTTCCATAAAAGATTCATGAACCTACATCAAATTTTACCTAGAGTGGACCTTTTCTCACCAAAAGGGGCGGTTCTTTCGAACCCCCCGAACCTCCCCCCCC